AAAGGAGTGGGGAGGGTAGATGAGATGGTGGAGATGCTTCCAGAGCTTATGACTTAGACAGATAATGCCATTATGTAAGACAGGAGACTCAGGAAGAGAAGGATATAAGGGGCAAATTGGTGTGATGATGAGATCCATTCTGGATGTGCTGAGTTTGAAGTAACTTGAGATACATCCAGACGGAGTCACTGGGCTTCAGCTGGAAATGCTGGTTTAGAGCTCAGGAGATGGTAGAGTAGGAGGTGAGCTCTGAGTCACTGATGTATATGGTAGCTGAGGTCCCAGAGATGGATGAGGTTTGTCCAGAGGGTACACAGAACAGAAAGAGGCCAACACTGACCTCCCCTAAGGCAGTGCCAGGTTCCAGGAAAGGTTCTGGAGGCTGCCCTCAAGCAGTGTGGCCCTGGCTAAACTGCATCCCCTCTCTGAGCTTCAATTCTGTAAAAGCAGAGGATAATCCTAGATCTCTAGGGCTCCTCCCTGATATCCAACCACCCATCGGTAATGAGACACCTGCTCAGAACCAGGAAGGACATTCGGTGCTGAGTGAACACCCGGCGTAACACGTGAATCCCTGACTTTTCAGGGGGAAAGACAGACACATAAATAATCACAGCCATTAGGCTGTGATTAACAGCTATCACAAAGGCAAGAGCAAAATGCAGCAGGAGAGTCCTGAGTGGGAGCGCAGCCCTCAGAGGTGAAACCCCGTCTGGTCTTGAAGAACCAACAGAAACTTCCCAAACAGAGGCAAAGCCAAGTGCAAAGGCACACAAAGTACCTGGGAATGGGTTCCTCAGTGAGCCTGACTGGAGAGGTGACAGGGCTTAGAGAGGGAGGGAGGGGCCAAGCTGGCCTACCAAGGAGTTTACTATATGCCAGAACAGAGAACAAAGAACTGACGGGGTTCTCAAACATGCCCACAACATGGTTAGAGCGCTGAGTGGAAAGCAGAGAACCGCCATATTCCCCTAGCAGCTGGTATTTACAAGCCCTTCTCTCTTGTCATGGTTTGACAAGACAGCAGATGACCTTATAAGGCTCTTCAACGTGTAAAAATGTTGAAGTTTTTTGTGATAGCAACATAAATATGATGGTATAGGAAAACAGAAATGCTAAACAGGGCTAATTACTTACAGCATCATTCAAAAACAGGGGAAACCAGACTCAAAAGAGAGTTTAGGGGCGTCTCATTTGGGGGCAAACCATTTCCAATCACTTGGGGACCAATCTCAAGACCCTAAGGCGTCCAAGGAAGATGTAAGCCACTCCTGGACTTGGCAGGGAAATGGTGGCAGAGCCAAAGAGCTAGAACTTCGTCTTTCACCCAATCAGACTTAAGACGTTCAAATCCCAACATCACTCCGCCCCAACGATCTCGCTCCACTTGTTTGCAGTACCATCGGCTGGTTACATTCAAGGAAGGGCTGGCATTTCCTGACTCTTCTCTACAAAACCCAGCCTTCCAATCCAGCTCCCACCTTGGAGCCTCTTTTTCTCTTGCTGCCGTAGATCCTCCCTCTGATCCTCCATCGTCAGCCTTTTCTTGGCACTCAGTGCACTTTCAAAAATTTCTCCCTGCTTTGTTGTCTCCCTCCAGAGAGTCCAAAAACATTGCCAACAGGTTCATCTTCTTTTCAAATCGCTTTTTATTTCTTGCTGCTTCTTGAATTTTTGTGAAGACGAAAAGGAGGTTAAAGAGCAGAGTCATGGCTGAGAGAGGAACAGATGTGGAACACCACCTGGCAGCTCCATCCTCTGGGCCTCCCAGCGTCCACACAGCCCTGCCCTCTCAGCTCCCGAAACACTTTTCTGTGTTCTCCCCTCTCCTCCGACATCCTCTTGCCCTGGCTCACTTTTTCCTTTATGTACTCTTGCTCGCTGCCTGCCTGAGTCTTCGCGTTGAGACCCTTAAAAACCACACAGCACCCACCCACAGGAAGAGCGCTTCTAGAGCCCTTAAAACTGCCTTAGAGGCCAAGGCTTCAGCTATCACGTTTTCAGAAGAGCAGTCCCTTCAGCCTCCCACCGCCATTCTCACCTGACTCGGCTGCAGCTCAGCCTTCAGAACAGAGATGACAGTTTTTAGATTACACCTTATTTGTATTCCCTTCCTTGTTCTCGCCACTGATAATACCTCAATATGGCCTTTTAACTGGCGATTAAGTAAACAATGGCAAAGATAGCCATGGGTTTGAAGAGTCCAAAGAAAATGGAAACGCAGGAAAGTCAAACATGTCTTGTTCGGTGAGAGGATTCAGCTCACACTTAACTGTATGTGGATAAACATTCTTTTCACATTGGGCTGCGAAGTCCAAATATGGAAACTCGGATTGCTACCCTATCTGGAAAAGGCAGAGACCCTGCTGTCCTGGTTTCCTCAGAGAGATTCTCAAGACAGAAGAGATGTTCTAGCAACTCAGATTCAAACCATGACAAGCAACATTCATCACCCCGATCCTCTGTCCTTCTCCATCCTACAAACGCCAAACTGGAGAATATGCATTATTCAATGACTTAAAACCTCTCAAGGCTCCATTTGGCTTTCCTATACCCACTTAAGGAACACAGTCACTGTCAGAGGTCAAAGCTCATTAGTGCTGGAACCTAAATCCAATGCCCTTGAGATATAAAATGTAGCTCCAGACAAGACCTCCCTGGCTCTGAGTAATTCCTTATGACTTCTGGGTCCTCGGCAGGCCACGTCTCACAAACTGAGAATCATATTTGCTATGAAAAGAAACCTGGCTGAGAGAGGCATCCAAAAAAATGAATGAGTGGAACCTGGTCCACATAGAAGAGTTTCTGACACTCATCAAAGAAATTCAGACAAGCCAATGGTATCCAAGAATGACCACGCTACTTTAAGTGGAGAATAAATGCAGAGATCGAAAACAGCGAGTGTAAGAGCACAGTGAGGGATTCCATAGGTGTCCTCAAACTTTGCTCAGACTCATAGACTGTTAGGACTGGAGATTATTTACTCCAATCGCTTCTCTGGCCAGAGAGGGAAAATGAGTGTACTGAAGTCCCATAACTCACAACAGTTCTGAAATTAAAACCCAAAAGAACCTTCCTCCTTACCCACTTCCTCACTCTCCCTGTTCCTGAGGAAGTTTACATCTTTCCAGGCATCAGTACAAAGACTGAGGAGTAATGCTCCTATTGCCCCCCCCAGGCCATTGGCAAGAGGCACCACCCCTCAAAGTGCTAGGAAGGCCAGGTTCACTTCTGGTACCCCATCCTAGTTCCACCTGACCTGCTCCTACGAGGGCCCAGCTGGTCATATACACTTGTCTGTAAGTGCCTGCTCCACTGCCTAAGCCACTGTCTTGGCTGGGCCAAAGGGACAGAGAGCATTAGTAGGATTTGGGATGGAAGTTATCAGTGTTATCCAGGATAATGTGTGGGTACCTCTGATACTAATCTCGTCCCCTTATAGTTTATCCTGAAACAGACAACACACACACACACACACACACACAAACACACACAAGTACACACCTTTCCTCCGAACCAAAAGAATAATATAGAGGAGTGCGTATGAAGCACTCAGCCCAGGGATGTTCTTAAAATGCAAATTCTGGTTCAGAAGAACCAGGAATGATCCTGAGATTCCACACTCCTAACAAACCCCTAGGTGATGTCCACACTGCTGGTCTGAGGATCACACTCTGAGTAGCAAGGGCAGATGTTACAAAACCTTGCAAACAAACTTAAATTCTGGTTCCACCAATCAGGAGCTTTGATACTTTGGGCTGATTTCCTAACTTCACGGTGCCTCAATTATCTCATCTCTAAAATGGAAATAACAATATCTAAGATGCACTTGATGAAGATTACATAAGTTAATGATGCAAAGCTCTTAAACAGTACCTGGCGTATCATAAGGCTTAATAAATGCCAGGTGCTGGCTGCGTCTAAGATTCATGAGAGCAGAGATGACATCTGTCTGGCTCACTGCCAAAATCCCAATGGCTAGAATTTAGTAGGTGCCCAATAGATGTTTGTGAATGAATGAATGTATGCATGTATAATACACTCACACATAATTGTAGTATTTACACATTCCCTTGGTTCTATGATCGCTGCAGGAAAACAAAATATTTAAAACACTAGAACACTTGACCAGTACCAAACCATCATCTCATAGAATCAAATTCAACATGAACCACCATGTTTAACCGCTAGGAAACATAAATTGTGATGGCTATATATGCTGTAGAAAATGTCTTAACTGTAAACAAATAAAGACATCAGTCTGGAATCTGTATGTCATTAAGAGAAATCACTGCCTTACTCATTATTTATGGGGCTGTCTGAATGCAGATGTTACGAAAAACTTAATTCTAAAACTAAGTTCGCTTCCAAACCAAATGTAGATTTATAAAGAGAGACAAAACAAACCATGAGAAGCGATATCACTTTTTAAAGGGCAGTAATACATTCTCTTGTACATGCACACACTTGCACAGGAAAAATCAGAAACAAACAAAAAAAATTGTTAACAAATGGTGGAGCTTAATCCTTTAAATCAAAGGCAGACAAGTGAGTCTGATCAAAATTCTTCAACAATCTAAGATTATCTCCAGACATCTCGTAAAGTAAGTGGCATCATTTAAACAGATCCCATTTCCAGGGAGGCACCATGTACAGTGTGTAGCAAGAAGGGAATACGATTGCCACCTACAGTCAGAAGTGGCACTCCCTTTACAAGAGCTGGCCAATCATATTTTAATGTGGAAAAAAAATTCAACCAAGTCATCTCTCTCCAACCTCTTTCAAACCACCACATCACATTACTTCATTTACAATTACTTTCAAGTCATACAATCATCTCTAGGCATTCTGCCTCTTCATTATCATCATCCTATTTCTAATTTCCCAGAAACACTGCACTGTTCAACTCTACTTATACACTATTTGAGAGCCAAGGAGAATGCAAGTCAACAGATTTCAAGCAGGCGAAGGCATCAGAGTGGAAGTGTAAATCTGCTTACCTGGTATGAATGGGACCACTCGGAATATATCAGACAATCTGCTGTTAACTGGTTCATAAGGGGAATCTTCAAGCAGATCATTTCCTAAAAACAACAGAATGATGGGGCTCAGATCTGGAAAACAGGCACATTTCAGGCAGTTTTTTTGTTACTGAATCTGGATTCTAATTATGTTATGATTGTGTAACAAAACAATGCTTTGAAACTTTCAAAGATTTCAAATGCATCTATTTGGCTCTGGTTATTTCTTTTCATTCTCTCTGCCTCTGTTGTCCTTGCTCTCCCCAGAGTGCCATGAAAACACTGCAGAGCAACCCCACCTGATCTTGCCAGAAAACTCTCCCACTCTTTGCAAAGGAATGAAATCAGAGAGGAAGGAACCAGTGACGTCACAAGCCTAGCTTGCCTCCGGGAACCAATGGAAGAAAGGTGACCCAAAAGAGGCCCTCATTTTTTTGCTTCCAAAACATGACATGCTGTGACAAATCAGTACCCTGGCTATTGAATAGTCAGTGTCTGAAATCGGTTTTCATTAATAGGTTCTGGAGGAAGTGGCAGCTGAGAGGTCAAATCTGTACATTTCAAATTTTCAGAGTGAGTCTCAGTGGAGAATGAATGCACTGAATGTTTGTGTTAGATTTACAAACACGAGTCAGCTCAGGCATTCAAGGACTAAAAAACTGCCATTGTAATGGATGGCTGTGACAAGTAGACCTTCCCCTCCCTTAGCCACTTCTGTGTTAACCAAGGTTGAACCACACCAGCTAGTTCAAGACTCATCTAATCTAACAATTTTTTTCCACATCTGCCTTTGATCAGGTTTGAGGAGGGGTAAAGGTAGAATAGATTCCAATGTAACTTTTATTCTTAATTCTCTATCTTATGTAGGTATAGATAGAAGGGAAGAAGAGAGGGGGTAAACTCTAGGCAAGATGCAGTGCAAGTCTTTGGCTTATTCTGTGAAGCCAGCTCTCCTTGGAGGAAAGTTGCAGGTCCCTTGGTGTGGCCTTTAATGGATTCTTTCTCTGATGTTCTGACCAAGTTTCAAAGAGGTCAGCGATGGCCCCGGGATGTCCCTCCACCCCCTCACGGGTTTTCCAACAACCAGGCCCCAACAATGCTGCTAGGGAGGCGGCAAACACCAGCTGCCGATGTCCCTGGGGGCTAATGAAAGGTCCTCATTCTGCAGCTGGGGAGAAGTGAGTGGAAGATGAGGTCAGCCAGACCCGGGGCCTAGGGGCCCTCCTGCCTTGGGGGGGCTGGGGGAGGGGGAGGAGGCCGGTCGGCGCGTACCCTGCAGGCTCTGGTACATGCTCCAGTAGATGCGCAGGCAGTTCTTCTCCTTCTTCATACCCCGCTTGCAGCGGCAGTTGTAGAGCGACTTCTGTTTGAGGGCCTCCATGGCGCTGCGGCACTCGTCCTTGGCCTCCAGGCCCGAGGTCAGGCTGAAGTTGGTCTCCTTGCCCGCCACGCACTGCCTCAGCGTGCGGTACTTGGTGCTGCAGCTCTGCTCCTTCAGGCACTGGTCGCTGGCTTTCACACAGTCCAAGCGGTCCCCGCCGCTCACCTCGGCCGACAGGAGCACGTCTGCGGGGGAGGGGAGGGAGCGTGAGCGGCCCCGGGCACCGGCCCGAGGCGCCAGCCGCCCCCCCCCCGCCCCCGGGGGAGGGCGCGTACAGGACCAGGCTTCCGGGGCGCCCCGCGCCAGCAGCGCGCCAGCCCCTCTCCGCCCGAGAGTCCATTTTCCCGCCTGGGGATCCCCTGCCGCTGGCCTCCCCCGACCCCAACTCCCCAGGCCCCCGAGGCTTTGCGGGCTTCTCGAGGTTTGCCCGCGAGCCAGCGCTGCCCACGACGCGTGCCGGCCCCGCCGCCCCGGGACAGACCAGCCTGAGAGGCTGCTCGGCCTCCAGGGCCGCCCTTCCGCCGCCCCAGGCTCCAGCCACTCGCTCCGCTCCGCCAGACTGAAGCCCGGGGGCTTTCCGAAGAGAGGAGCGGCGGCCGGCTGGGCGCTGGGCGCCAAGAAGGCTAGCCCTCGTCCCCCGCCCACCCGGCGGGGAGCACCCAGACGCTATTTGGGGAAAAGTTTTCCCTCCCAAGTTTGCTCTCCTGGCCCGGTGCTCGCCCACACCCCACCTGCCCGCCGCGACTCCGCGAGCTCCCCGGGACTAGCAGAGGGCGTCGGGCTTGGGGCAGGAGGTTCAGATCCCTTGATTTCCCCTAGGCTAGGTCATTTTAAAACGTAGGAAATAAAAACCAAGGGAAAAAACAAGTGCCACGCCGCCCGCTCCCCGCATCCCGGGGTGCTGAGGATTCAGGATCTCCTTCCCCAAAACGAAACTTCGCCGTCCCCCACCCACCGCACCCGCGCCGCAATCTTAGGGGGAGGAATTGAGGGGCTGCCGCTAGTACTCCGCAGGAAGACTCAGAAGATAAGAACGCTGGCGGCGGCCTCGACTTACCCAGAAGCGGCAGTGCGAAGTACAGGGTCGCCAGGAACATGGTGCCGGCGCGCAGCTGGTCCCCGCCCCCCCCGAAAATCCCGAGCTGCCGCTGGGTCTCGCCGAGGGAGCTCAGCATGCAGCGATCCGCGGACGGCCGCGCTGCTCTGGCCGCCCAAAGTTCAGCTCCATCCAGTGCGAGAGGAAACTCCCTGGTCCGTCCTCCGCCAGGGACTCAGCTGCCGGCGACTCAGCTTCGGGCGGGCGGGCGGCTGGAGCGAGGGCGGGAGGCGGTTCCGCTTTTAGCGGTTCAGGTCCTACCCAACCTGGAAGGGAGAGCGCGCTGTGAAATGAGAGCGGAGAGCGCTGGAGCCTCCCTCCGCCCCTCTGCCCTCCCGTGCTGCGGCCTTGGGGGACTTTTTAGCGCCGGGTGAGGGCCCACCCCTACCCGGGTCGGGGCGCGGGAAGGGGGCGCGAGAGGTGCATGTGCTTGTATTCCGGGGAGCCGTCCGCACGGGCAGGGTGGAGGCTGGAGAGGTCCGACGCGAGCTCCCAAAGTCCAAGGGGGGTATCCCTCGGGTCCAACCCAAGAGGCTGAACGCAAGCAAATAAATAAATAACGTTACTTTCCGAGCGCTGCGAGCGGAGCCAGCCGCTGCCTGGAGTCGAAGCCCTCCGCGGCGGCAGCTTTCTCGCCAGCCCTGGCGCGTAAAGAGCCCCTTCTCCCGGGAAGTTCGCCGCCCCCTTCTCGCGCCAGCTCGCTCGCTCAGTCGGCCCTCCCCACCCTAACCACCAATCACTGCCCCCCATGGCCGTATCCCCTCCTCCCCGGCTCGCCTCCATTCAGAGGCAGCCAGGCGAGGGGGAACAGAGGTCCCGGCTGGTGCCGAAACCCG